TCGTATGTCGATGAGATCAATAGATAATTTGCTTTTGGCAAGCAGGAAAAAGCATGCATGATCCCCTCATACATAATCTTCAGTTGTTCACTGCTGAATATAGCAGGAGCATCTTCTTTTCCTACAGAACAATTCCAGAAATCTCACACAGAGATGTTCAACCAATACTAATCGGAAGGGAAACTTAGCTAAAAGGGTTTTACCTGACATGATAACAGGGGAATGGCCGCTTTTCTGGAACAGAATATGCTGGTGTTGAGCATCCGAGAACATGGCGGCGGACATAGGCCAGAAGGAGACCACCGGAATATTCCTGCTATTTGCGATAGAAACAGCCCAGAAGAGAAAAGTGTCAGCCATAATAAGAGTAGCCGGCGGCTGAAGGCCGTCAAGGAGCCTCTCGAACGGATCCTTCATTTTCGTCCAGACAGCTTTCACGAAGCCGCTGATATCGGCCCCTCTAACTCTCTCCGAGGCGACAACGTTTGGAATCGACATGAACTGAATTCGATCGGTTTTGGGCTCGGAACTGAGGAGGTCCAGCCATTCTTCGGTGAGAACGACGGTGATGAGAATGTCGTCGGAATTTGAAACCAGTAATTTGCAGGTGTTGAGAACGGGGTTGATGTGGCCTCGACCGGGGTAAGGTACCGCCACCAAGTGGCCTGCGACGGCTGGCTCTGAGGAATGGTAGTTCATGTCCGAAACTGAGCTTTTCCAAATGTGTTTGGTGTCTGGGAATTTTGACCACAACAATTCTAGATAAATGGGAGCGGTTAAAATTTTAAAATAATAATTTAACATAATTTAATCTATATATCTCTTAATAAACCTATATTTATTAAAAAAATAAATTTATTATAAAAAAATATAATAATTTAAAAAATTATATTAATTTTAATATATAAAATCTCTTAAATTCTCCCTAATATTTTTTCTTGATCTCTACAAAAATTATGTCACATTTACTCTGTTTTTTTTCTCTAACAAAAGCACTCACTAACTTCGCTGCTCTTAATTTCTCTTGCTTGCTCCCATTGCCTCTACACGCATGGATCCTCGTAAGGAAAAATGCCACCCACTCATACGTAACTTTTACACCCCTTAAATGAGGTCATCAGATAATTTTACATGATGGATTTTTTTACCTTGCACTTTAAAGTACATAATAAAAAAATATTTATTATATTTTTTTATTATTAATATAAATAATAAAATTAAAAATTAATATTAATTTTATCAATTATTTAATAAAAAATAAACATATATTATAAATATTAAAATTAATACTATTTTTTTATTTTTTTATATAAATTAATATATAAAAATACATCTAAAACTCTCTTAATTTATACTCTAAATATACAAATTAAACAAATCCTTACATGATTTCAAGCAAATCAAATGTTAACCTACAAGGCTACAACCAAACAGGGCGGTGAAGAAAATTTTCCACACAGCAAATCCATGTGCTCCCATGGCGCTTGTCGCTTGATCATTTTGTCAACATTTGGTAGCGCAATTGACTTGACCGAATTTAATTAGTAAAATTTGATGTGGAGGAAACCTTCAAAGTTTCAAACTTTTTTTTTTAATAATAAAAAATTAAAAACCACGTGTATCGATTTTTTTTTTTTCCTGAAAAACGACAATTACTAGTCTTTTTTTTTTTCGGTACATAGAATTACTAGTCTTTTTAATACTACTAGATTGCAAAAGTTTTTAAATGCCGTTAAATTAACAATAATTAAACCATTCAACTACCCTTGCCGGCGGCTGTCTTATGCCATCCATTGACTTTTTTTTGTTAAAGGGTTCGTTTAATTTGTATTTTAAAAATATAAATTAAAAATATAATAAGTATTTTTTAATAATTAATTTATGTATAATATTATAAAAATTAATATTTATTTTAATATTATTAATATATAGATGATTTTAATTGATTAATTAATTAAATCAAAATTAATATTTATATTTTTAAGAAAAGTTAATTATAAAAAATTATATTAATCTTGTGTGCACAACATAAA